ATAAAAATGCCATGTACATCACTACAGATTATGCGAGACGGTCAATAGTAATGCTTCCGCTTAATCCTGAGTTACAATCATATTACATACTGCGTTTCGAGACTAAATCAATAAGCCCCCCCTCTCAATTAAGCCCCCCCCCCTCTCCAATAAGCCCTCCCTCAAACGTGCCTGAAATAAATAAGCCCCCCGGGGAGGTAAATAGAGGATTTACGGTATATGTTTATGATATTAAAAAATCTTATGTTTTCAGTCCACAATGAGAGGTGGTCTATCCTTCATCGCCATCTTCCTGTGTCTCTTGTTTGTCGTCAGTGACATTGAACCTGTCCAGATGATTGACATTGAGTCACCTGCCAACATGTGGCAGAGAGAGATTGGTCACGTCTTCCTGGACACCAATGGTAGATTTTCAAATTAACTTCGCATTTGATTATTTTTTGAAGTAAAGTTCTGGTAGGAACTTTAATGGTGGTGTAGGCGCAATGACGAAACAAATTTTTTTTTTCCAGGTAATTGTTTGTATTTCTGATTATTTTGGTCATAATCCGAGGACCATCTTCAGCTATAAGTGATATTGAATATATCAAATGGTATTTGATAGATAGAGGCCTTGCACTATCACCTCATTTACATGAGAAAAAAAAATTAAAATAATGAGAAAATGAATAATTGGTTTCCCAGGGGAAAGAAACTATCGTTGTGCCTCCTGCCATGAGCTGCCATCTTCTAGCGAGGGAAGAGGATGAGCCGACCGAATAAAAAACATTTGGTCTAGAAAATAGGTTTCAAGCTCAAGGCGTGATTACACGGAACAGTTTTCTCTGCAACTCAGCGCCTCAAAACGGTGTGGCGACACAAGTTGCATGGAGCATTGCAGCGCCGTGTAATCTACAGCGCAATTTGAAAAAAAATGTTGCGAGTCAGGTTACACCAATTGTTTGCGTCCCTGTTGCACCGTGTAAACTTGTGATGCAACGCTGTTGCGAGTCAAAGTTGCAGATAAAATTGTTCCATGTAATCGCGCCTTTAAGTCTAGTGAGCGAATGCAAGATGCAAGATCGATTCTTCATACAGCATGCATAAAAATCGGCACCAACCCTTTCTTTTTAAATAGCTGTATATTATTTTCTTTTCAGAAAAAGTAGCGAAATATTCCTCGAAGGCAAAGGATAAAAGTAAAGACAACGACAAAGACGAAAAATAAATAACAACGCATGACAAGCTACTCTTGTTAACAAATGATCAAGAAATGCAATAAAATTATGGATGTTTAAATTTTTTGTTGTTATTGTTCTTTTTATGCAACTCAAGAATTCTTAACATATCAAACTTTTATTGAAGTCTGTGTGAATGCCCGTGGTTTTACACGTTTTGGGCTTCCTTTGTCAAAGGCCAGGTTTCTAACCCAATACAACATGATGAAATTTCCAGTGTTTTTTTGCTGCGATATTTTCAAGTTTTGATTCAAATTTTCGACATTTTAAGGCTTTTGAAGGTGGGAAAATCACCAAAAAGCAGAATATGTGCCCTTCCAAATAAAGCTGATGTTACACGGGACGTTTTGCAACGAAGATTTTTCGCGATACGACTCGTCGATTTTTAATACATGTTACGCTAGTCAACTTTTCGCGCAACGTTCGTTAGAAAGACAACATGTTACAACGGGACGATTTTTTTGTCGTTGCAAATCGTCCCGTTTTACATCAGCTTAAAGCTTACTAAAGATGGATGTAGAGTTGATGGCCGCGCGAATGGCAATATTAATTAGGTGGGAAGTTATAAACAAGATAAACGATGCTTAGGCAGATCCAATAGTTTTAGTGTAGAGAGGGGTCCGTTTGTCAAACATTGAGAAACATGTAATGTAAATCAGGCATTATACATAGGTAAGAATTGCCTGGGTCACGGGAACCTTTTGACTATCCTCTGGATCCACCAATGCGATGAATAGCTAGCGTTATCATACGCATTATTTAAAGCGTGTATGTGGGTGGAAGGGAGGGGGGGGGGGGTTGGAAGGGCTATAAGGGTATAGATTTCTATATTATAGAATATTGATGCGTTCAC